AAATACTTAATGTAGATAGGGTATTGAAAAGTATTAAAAGTGTATTATAAGTTTCAACATTATATGTCAAGTACCCAATCAAAATATTTGCAAACAATAAAAAAATATTAAATTTCAACAATTAAACAATGAGAATTAAGTTAGTCCAAATTTTATAAACATGATCAATATTCACATTCAATGGATAAATAGTGATTCTTAATTCATATTAGAAGTGTAATAGGTTTAAAATTAAAGTTGTAGTATTTATTTTCATATAAATATATGTGTGATCTTTTTCTAATATTGGGCAGGCCAAACCCACATCCCGTCCCACCAAGCCAAAAGGCGGGCTACGGACCGGCTCATTTTGACAGTTCTACCAGTAATAATAATATACAATACAACAACAAAGCTGTGCATGATAATTCATGTCATTCACGAGTCATACGATACGACCACAACACAAATAGATTGAATACAGCGGAAAAAGGATACCTCAATAACACAAGCAAAGTCGAGACGTTAAACCACGTCATATGGCCGAGTAACTGTATTCATCTTCCTGCTTGTCCTAATGGATGCTGGTCCTCCAGGATAGAAAAACACCAGTAAACCATAAAAGCCACTGCAAATTGTTTTTAACAAGCCAGGAGAATAAAAATAATGAGAGCTCTCTCTTTATGGTTTGGTAGCTAACTGCAATATTGTTAGAAATGTTAGAAAGGTAGCTAACTGTAATATTTATTAAACATAACAGCTTCTTCTAACAATAAAACCGGATGAAAAATGTAGTATTATGGCAAAGAGGAAGGTACAGAATGCCTTCTGCTTAGTACACTTCTTGGGGAGAACAAGTATTAGATTTACTAAATAATGTTTCAACCTAACAGTAAACTGAAATTACAATGTTAAAGTCGCGGCAGATAGGAAGCTAATAATTAAAGTGGTAAGCTGCAGCAAGATTTCTAGTAAATGTAGAGGTAAGTTTTTTTTGCATCTAATCATTTATTTGGAGCCTTGACCAATCACTCGAGCAATTTTCCTGAGCATTAGGTTTTCCTTTAAACACATGATACATGAAAGAGCTCCTAACTAATTAAGAAACAAAAATAAATAGAAACATAAGAGGAACCCAATGGCCATATTCTTCTCCAATTTCAGTTTTACTCACATCTCATGTGAATTCAAGAACATAAATTCGAAGGAAGGATTGGTCAACGAAATATGAACCGACGACTGAACCTTTTGACATACCCCAGGACAATACATTTTTGTTTATCTATTAGTGTGTACTGCATAATTAACAGAACAATACATTTTTGCTTTAACTGTGCACATTCATTTGGGAACTAACCACTTCAAGACCATAGCATAATTAACAGAATGAATGCACATCATTTTGCCTAGTGGAGCTCAGTACTAGCAAATGCAACATTGAACCCATTTAAAGACTTTAAAGACAAAAAAAAACTTCTACTGTCTAAGACTGGCGGAAGTGATGAACAAATTTAACAAATTGCAACATGCAGACATAAAAACAATGATGAAACACAACACAATTGCTTGTATGTTCTCAATTTAACACACACAATCATCAAATTGGAATCAACAACTAACTCAGATGAACACTAAATTCACAGGAGCCTTTAGAACAAAAAGAAACCAACAAAAACCACAGACTAACTAAATTATAAGAAATCAAGCATAACAGAAAAAGATTAAAGGTAAAAAGATAATAGAGCAAGAATACAGAAAGAAAAGAAGGATTTTTTCACATTATATACTAAATTCTCTTCTTTTGGTTATAGGTACTAAAACAGTGGTTCATTTGACAGGAAAATGATAGAATTGCGCAACAAAACCCAATCATTTCAAAACTGAAGGAAAAGAACATTAAAGACAATACCAAAGAAGTCTGAAACAGTGTGGAAGGAGATCGTGTGAAGACTTTCCCTGCAAAACAGTTGGAACAGATCAAAAATATGACTAAATTATATTTAACATAACATCTCGAGCTTATTACACAAAATCCATGGAACCAAATAATATTGTATCCACTAACAAACCTTGAAACTGCATGGCTGCCTTGGTTTTGGCAGTGAACAATGAAAGACAAAAGTGAGGACAAATGACACTTCACTATTAGGAATGCTTAAGCACTTCAACTTCTTTGTGTCATGTTTCAATTTCATTAATTATCTGATTGTACTGAAAAGAGCATTTAAATTGACTACTGAAGTCTATGCCAGCAGAACATATAAATTTTGTGGTGCACAAAGGAAGAACTATTAAGGAAGAAAGTGAAAAGTTGTCGACCTTCCTGTGCAAAAGAGTGAACAGCCTTAAGGTAGTTGTATCATTGAAGTAAAGAAACAAAAGCATGGAAGACAAATCGAAAGAAATGTCTGAAGTATAGTAAGAAATAAGTTTCGTATTTGCAGAGGTAGAGAAGGTGAAGCGACAACGTGTTGTGACCCTTCATAATCTGAAAGTAGAAGGAAAACTAGCTGCGTCAAACAATGTGAAATGTGAGGCATGATAGAGCATTTAACAGCAGCGAATATTACATGCACATCAATAGTACATTTCCAAAATCATATCGACAGAATTAGGGAAATAAAGAAATAATTTCGGGGAAAACCACTTGAGAAGATGCTTTTCATATCATTACCCAACAGCAAACACCTTACATCTGTTCCTGCCTTTAGGAAGTTAACTCAACATCCATCTTCAAGAAAAAAAAAAAAACTAAATAAGAATTCAAAACCTAACCTCCTTCGAAGTGAAATACAGAAAATGTTGAGCTATTAACACTCTTATCTGGACAATCTAATTTTTTTACTAAGCGCAAAGACGTGCAAAGTAGTGCTGCACTGGTCAACACCAACATTGTTTGAGCTGCAACAATGCCACCTTACATTTAGTATTCAAAATAAATCTCATTTTTAATATAACTAGCAATAGAAGGTATGTAACATAAGCTAAGTCCAGAAATGCGTACTTCAAGGCCGAGGCTACAATCTTCTCTGTGAGGTCTGGTTATTGTTATCCTTCCAGACCAGTTTACTTTGCCCTCTAATTCCATTCATCGAAAACGACAGCATCTGCAGTTGGTTAAATGTTGTTAAAAGATGAAAGACTTCAATATAATGAGAAGTATTGTTGGCTTACCCGTCTTGCTCTCTTATCAACTGGAGTCCATGTTGGGGAAGAGGTAGCAGAAGCACTCTTGTTCTTCAGTGAATTTAATGGTCGTGAAGATCTCTTTAGTCTATTTTTTTCAACTTTTTTCTGTGGGGTGTTGCCTCCTTCATACTTGTAGAGTTCAAGAATCGAAGGACTCTTCCTTTTGGTAATATTTGAGATGTCCCCAGAAGAACCATAAGCAGGGGGGGATGATAGGTCATAAGAAGCAGACTGCTTTCTTAATCTACTCTTTTCGCGTATTCTGTTTAAGAACTCGACTGTCCAGGGAGATCCTCGAGGAGGAGTAGAGCGAAGAGCATTTTTGAGTGGAGTGCCACCAGCACTTTGAGCACCTTTTTCTTGGATTGACATTTTGTAGGAATTTGTTGGAATTTTTCCTATAATATTCTCTTGCACCAGCTCATTTTGGTTCATCATAGTATAACTGTTTCGGTTAATAGTATCAAAATATGGTTTAATTCCTTTTCTCAAAGTTTGTGTATCATCCCTAGAAACCCAGGCAACAGATGCAGAATCATCATCGATCAAATTTGAAAACTGGGGAAGATCAGTCGTACTCAGAGGTCGTTTATTTATTCTGGAACTCCTTGGAGCATAACCTTTCTCAACATAATGAGCAAATGGAAAGCTAGCAGAATTTCCAGCTGTGAAGTGTTCTTTAAATTCTGGAGTATCCTCTAAATCAACAACTTCACCAGTAAAATTCTCCTGCAAAGTTGCAGTCACCCTGTTACTTTGTGTGCCAAAGTTGCTCTTTGCTGCTGTAGCTGAGCTCCATCTAGGAGGACAATCTAAGTCAAACTGAGGCATCCACAGCTTCTCTCTCTCATCTGATATATTAATACCTTTAGTCAATGGGAAATCCTGAAGGCTTGACTTCATCATATCAGCATCATTATCCAGACAATGACCGGGTAACATGTCATCAAAACACATATCCATCGGTGCCAATTTATTGTATATCTCATTACTTCCTGACAGCCAAGCATTGCACGGTGCAGACAATTTGGACAGATTAAGTTGGTCACCTGGATTTAACTTCAGTGATTCTGTGTGAAACAAACTTTCTGGAGGCTCACCAGGATCGTAAAGGTTGTGTGTGTATCTTGCTTTCTTCTTCTCGGGTACAATTTTGGGTTCGGCGTTTTCCAAATCTGGAACTGATACAGAAGAGCTATTTGTCAAACCAGATTTAGAATCCTCTTGCTCTCCGTATTTGCATATTGCACTTAGTAGAGTAACACTTTCATCATGAACCTTGTATTTTTTAAGAGCCAAAACTCTGCCTTCATTCGACAGTTCCAAAAACTTCCCTAGTATGGTATCTGATGACAATATTGCATGAGCTGAAAGAGGATTAATAGAAGGACATGCAGTGAGAAATGATTCTGCTAGGCCTTCCGAATCCGACATTCTGGGGTAGAGGTCCCCACTCAACCCTTCTGCAACATTGATGCAAGAGATTATGATCTCTTCAGTCATCTCATAAGAATATGAGTAGAAAAGCTGTATGTCAACTCCCAAGCTAGCCCCTGCAGCATAGAGTTCGTCTGATGATTCCATAATGCTACATAAGAAATTTAAATCTCCTTCAAATATCTGCAAGGAAAAGTAAAAGCAGGAACTCAATCAGTGACAAAGCCATCAAAGCTGTAGTGTGACAATCTTAGAGAAGGTATAGTTTAATTAAAAACCAAGACGATATATAACAGGATAAATTTCTATCAGCAATTCTTGTTAAACCTTTTTACGCTTCAATTAATGCTGACGAATAACTGGTGACATGATCATACAATTAAAATAGATGAAATTGGCATGATAACAAAGAGCGAATGGACTAATTCTGCCAGAACTTATGCTGGTACCCTGCTGAACAATATTTTCACCACTAGAAAGATGTTCTCAATTGACATAATAATCAGAATCTCAAAATAAAAGCAGCAAATGATAATTGATCGAATCTTAAACTTTCAAAAGTAAAATTACCAGGATGCAGCAACTGAAAGCAAAGCTCAAGGAAGTCAAGATACTCGCTGCAATGCTTTCAACACATAAAGGCAAGCATGAAAATGCCTCATCTGAAGCTGAAGCTTTCCTTCCAATATTTCTGCAGTCATACCAAGAGAGACAAACTGCTGAACTTACTATTATGTCAACAGGCAAGACTACGTCCCGTTCCACAACTTGTGCTCCTTCTTGCTCCATTTCAAGAATCCTTTGGTATGTACTTCTCCTGGAGATTATCATTTCTTCGTTGAAGTTTCGGGTATTTACAATTATGATGGTTTTGGGGCAGAGAGGCTTGCAAGACAAGTTTTGCTTTGATTCCAAACCCACTGGTATTGACTGAACTGGCATCCTATAATAGTGCTCTTCGTGCACAACTTCATTACCATAGATCCCTTCAACAGGTACAGGATTTAATAGCTCTTCCAACTTAGTATCACAATCCTGTTTGGCCGATGCGGAATCAAAAGGACTTTTCTGGCACCATGATTGAATAAGATTAACAACAGATTACAAAATACTTAAAAATGGAAGCTCACTAATCAGCAAATATGACGCAACAAAAAAAAGAAAAGAAAGGATAACCTAGCAATCTTCCATTATATCAAGTTACTAATAACAAAAAAAGAAAGGAAAGGAAGAAATCAAGCATTCACTTTCCTCAAACATTGGCATGTGGTATAACAGAAGAAAGCCATTTACAAATCTACAAAAACCATAATCATCAATACTGAAACAGAACTAATAGATATTAACTACTGAAGGTGGTGAGTCAAGTCGTAGACGCTTCATATTTATTTCCATTTGTTATCATCTCTATGCTTTTCTCCTATTAGGCCAAAAATTCTTGCACAACTAGTCAACATATAGTATATAGTCTTAGCTAAAATAATACCTGATACATCTTAACATTCCCATTCTGCTGAACTTCAGTGGTTATATTGGCAGCAGCAGAATCATTGATTGACACCACTTGACACTCCGTATTAGCATCAAAGGACTTGTGAGCAGGTATACCTTCTCTTCCTTTAACATAGTTAAGTGGATTCAGAAAAAAATCAAGATCACTAGACATGGACTCACCAAACCTTGCAATTTCCTCAACACCAGGTCTTAAGAAAGTATCTTCATTTATCTTTTGTCCCCCATGATTCCTCAAGCTAGTTAAACCCGCTTCACCAGAAGAATGGACCATAGAGACATCACTGCCAGATTGGTTCAGGATATTCTTGTTGTTCTCCACAATTGTTTTATCTGAATGAGAAGCAGAGAGAATAAAATCAAAGATCTGTTTTCCACCATCACTTGTGATCATAGAGGCATCAATGTTGTAGGTATCTATCTCCCAGAACATTTTACGACAAGTGGAATATTTCCCTGATTCAGAATCATCTTCCCCAAGTAAACGCCAATCCAGATATAGACCATCAGATGCTGACCAAGTCTGCCAATCTAACTGAGCAAATAACTTCTCAAATGCATGTAATGAACAAGTGTTTCCCTCATCTGAGAAGATAGGTACAGGTAGGGATTTGAAGGAGTCATCCATTAGAGTAAGCTCATGAGAAACAATTAATTCACTGAAACTTTTAAAGTTCATGGTTTTTTCAAACAGGGATGCGCATTTTTCAGCTTCAATCTCCTTTGCGGAATCTGAAAGTACCTCGCAGTAATAATATGTATCCGAATCGAGGAACAAAAATTCATCAAATAGTATTGGGTCCATGGATCGAATCACATCATCCTCCTGTTTTTCATGATGAAGTTTTGGGTACTCCTGACATGACAGCTCAATTATGGTTATACAGTCCAATTGTGATGGAAAATTGGAGTCCTCAAGGCAATGTATCGCAGCACAATTTTGTAATAAATACTTTATCAAGTCAAACTCCATAGAACCCAAGAGCTCGTTGTTGCTAATTAATACATTTGGATGTTCCAACTCTTTCTTTTCAATATTCTCAAAGCTCAGATGTTCATCCATCTTATATATTCTTCCAAGAATATCCAGACTCTCCACATCAAGTTCAAATAGAGGAAATTGGATGTTATGAGAATGAAGTTTTCCCAAACCACAATCAGCATCTTCCAACATATCGGACTTTTGTTCCATTGAGTACTCTACGCTCACATCATCAACTGAATAAACTGACTGTTGAATTTCAGATGGATTTTGTAGCGTAAGCTCAGAATCTAGCATATCCTGCAATTCAAACTATTTTAACAATGATATTTTTTGTACACTAAGTAATTAGGACTACACACTATAGAACCAATTATTTGAAACAAAAGGGGGATTGTTAGTTTTTTATTCTTCATTAGTGCAAGTTATGAAGTCACAAAAAGTGCTGCACCTATGGGAAGATAATCTATGGCTATATAAGATACAAATTAAAGCAGCACTAGCATAAGGTTACATAAATATCAAGTAGATGGATCATGGATCTACTCATATAACAAACTCAATGGAATGTCATTTCCAAACAAAAGATTATTGTTCAAAGTTACTAAACTTTAATACCCAAAAGACCTAATCAAACATGACAACCTTTTGACAAAGTTAAGCAAATCCTGGGGCGAAAAAACTTTAAAACTAGAAAAGAAGGTTTCATTCTTAAAGCACTGCCAGTGCTTGTAATGTAGAGATGCAGAGATCAGAAAGCACCAGCATACGGAAAAAGCCAACATAAAGACCAACTCACGTACCATTGTACATTCAGCATTAGCAATCTCAGAGAACATAAGTGAGCGCTCATATTGGGAATGGACGTTTCCTTTCTGCTTAACACAAAGAAGAGTAAATTTCAAGAGTCTGTAATAATGCATGGACAGGACATGATGATGCACACAACTCAGTGAACAAAATGACAGCAGTTTAGAGAAGTCTCATGACCTATATGGAGTCCAGTGTAACTTTCATATTGATGTTCATACAGGTCCAGAATTTAGAGAAAATAAATGGGAATACAAATGGGAAAGTAAATATGGATCAAAACGTTGGAAGTATGTTTGGCCTTTCTGAATTGATATAAACATAACCTTGAGAAGAAGGAAAGATTCAAAAAGAGAAAATGAATTAGATGAGACAATATAATTTTTCTACTAATAATTAATAATATGTTTTTCTTAAGCATTTTGTCAACTCAATTCTTTGGACAATTTAATGCGCACGCTAATGGCATATGTCTAAACATGTTGGCATGTCCCTATCCAGGGGGTAGTTTTCGACACAATGAGTTCACGTATACGGATTAATCAATGTCTGTGAACCTGGAAAAGAAATTTACCAATGGAAGAGATGTAATATCGATCTCTGGAATTTCAAATCGTGGAAATTTAAGTCCAACATCACCCTTATCATCACACGGTGTTCCATCTTTCCCCTGAAATACGATGAATTAGAATATGCTGAATATTACAAACATAAATCAAGTAGCAAGGAATACACATGAATCGCCAACTTGAATTGAAACCCCAATCTCCATTTAGTCACCACTCACCAACCAACAAACTCTTATTGATTCCCATGGTCCTCCCTGAGAAGGATTTACAGGGATAGCTATTCATATAACTAAATATTTGACTATTCATACATTTTGCAGGAGACTTCTGTTAAACGCGATACATACAAAATCAATAGACATATCCAAGTCCACACATCAGATCTAACTACACCAGTGGCTAAAGCAGCTCATAATATAATTTCACCAGAAATACGGAATTAATCAGGACTGGCACAAAAACAAAGTTAAAGGCAATTGTTCAAGTGTCCTCATACTACAGCCAACTGAAATTCATCCTACAGAAACTTTAACCGGTAATCTGTAATCATACTTCCTGCAGAAATAAGTTCAGTCTAATAATGCTCAGCACGTCAAATCACTTTCCAATAATGCTCGAAATGGCATCAGATTCGAATGCAGGTCGCTAATAATAACTTAAAAGAAGAACGTCTTCAGCCTAAAACTCTAGTTACCTCCGTGAAATTTTCGTCGCTGCCGTCAATCCTCGTCTCCTCCAAACCAGCGCCGTCGACAAAGTGAGGAAGAACATCGGACAAGAATATCGAGAGAGCATCCTCAATCTGTAGCTGCTCGATTTCGCAAGCGACGTCGAAAACTGGAATTTCGTCAAAGGACGGTGAGAATTTAGCAGAAGCGTCGGGATAGCTTGTTGGAGAGAGCTCAAGGAGAGGTATCTGGACGAAGTCCGGTAGATCGACTGGACCGCCTTCGAGTGCGGTGGCTGAGTAATCGGTGGCGAGGAAGCGAGTGCGCATCGCGTGTCGTGGTTTGATGGTTTTGCCGGCGGAGCCTGAGAAGGAAGAAGAACGTTTGGAATATTTGAAATACAATGAAAAATATAGAACGGGAAATGAGCATTTCTGATTTTGGCGGCAATGAAGGAAATGAGCGTCTCGCAACTCTTGTTCCCAAGTGGGTTTTTCGCGGGTTAGCTTACAGTGCCTTTTCCTACGGTTTTGTACAGTTCAAGTATTTGAACTATAAATCGTGTGGTGTATTGTGGGATAACCTTCACGCATAGATAGTGACTTTGGATCATGAAAAATACGTTTAGGTACACGTGTGAATGAAAATACAAATATTAGATCTTCTGTTAGATGATATCATTAAACATTAGAAAATGACATATTGTAATAAGTAATATACATAGTTTAAATTTATTTATGATTTAGTAGTATAATTATGTATTTTTATTTATATAGTATGGCAGATCATCACCTAACATTTTAGGTGGCCTCTTGGTGGAATTCGGGCCACTTCAATTTTATTTTCCTATAGCAGCTTCTCAACAAATGAAACGAAATTAAATTTGTGCTTAAAAGTTAAAACAATGTGTGTTGAAAAAGGTCATCTCGTTTAGATTATAAGTAAATGAATAAAGAAACACGCCTTAATTTGGAAGAGAAAAGATAAAATAAATAAAGAGCTACTTATTTTGCATATTATTTATTGCACAGGTTTGCAGTATATTGACTAGAAATTCACCTCACCTCATCTGATCTTCAATTCACCATCTGATGAAATGAAACTGAAAAATGGGGAGATTTCACAAAATATAAATAGCTAATGTTAAACAAGTCTAACTATTAAACAATCATATTTTATCCAATTAGTCAATCGTATTATTCAACATACATGCATACTTGGAACATACTTCTAAAACTAACATAAACAAAGATATGACATTTCATATCATACTGGTCAATCCATCTAAACGATCAGGCCGCGTCATACAATAAGGAAACCGAAAAATCCAGACTAACAAGGTACTTACTTGAAANAAAAAAAAAAAATCCCAGAGACCACAAAGCTTACATATCATATCTGAGTCCACCACAAAAATAGAAGATAACATTAACAATCCCTTATCACAGATCCCTGAACTCAGAAAACAAGCCATAACAGAGTGCAGAAAACAACCAGAGGTTCAGACAGATTACAAACTGAAACCTTAAACAACACAAGTTCTTACACAAATCCCATTCATTCTCTCAAACGGACAACTCAGTCTTGGAAACCAAAATACCATCCGTATCTGCATACAGCCACTCCCCATCAGATATCCGTGTCCCGGCAATACTCACCGGAACATGCTTCTCCCCAATTCCCTTCTTGCTAGCTTTCACAGGGTGAGATGCCAGTGCACGAACCCCAATATCACAGCCATTGATCTCATCAACATCCCTTATGCAACCATTGACTATTATCCCAGCCCACCCATTATTCTGGGCCTGCACGACAGGGTTCCCGCCAAGAATGGCACACCTCATGCTACCGCCACCATCGACAACAAGGACTCGCCCGTTGCCTCTCTCCTCGAGAAACTCGCGCACCAAAACATTGTCCTCGAAGACTTTGAGAGTCACAACGGGCCCGGAGAATACTTGCCGCCTGCCGTAAATTTGGAAACACGGCTGGAGGGCCCGAAGCTCGCCGCTCACGATGAGCTGCGGGTTCGCGTCGCAGACTTCGGCTGTGGTTACTAGGGCCATCCTTGATTAATAACCTTTTTTTTAAGGGGGGACAAAAGTGAAGGAAAAAAGAAGTGTATCGTTAGAAATAGTTATATATTATCTTCTAGAAATAAAACTCTTCACAAGGGCTACGTGAAGTAAAAACACGAAACTGCCATGTATCCCTCCATCCAAGATCTATTTTAGGCTATGTTCATGTATTCAAATAAACTTCGTTTGGTAGAACGAGCTTCTATAAAAAGCTCGATTTTATCTCATAAGCTTCTTTGGGTAGCTTTTCAAATAAGCTCGTTGAAATTTTTATTTCAACTAGCGTATCAGCTAATTTTACCAAACACTTTTATAAGCTAGCTTTTCAGCTAAAAGTCATAAGCTATAAGCTAGAAATTCACTTAAAAGCTATAAGCTAGCTTATCAGCTATAAATTAACTTATCAGCTGGGTTTACAAACATAGCCTTATTGTCCGAACAATTGTTGATTCAAGACTCAAGTACCCATTTTCTTCACAACTTGCTCTTTCTCCTTGATCAACTAACTTCATCATTATGAGTATGAGTAGTGAAAGAACATTTCTCACTGAACTTAAATAAGTAATAAATAGGTAGGTTTATGATGTTTCCTAATCTATTGATCACTGAAAGTTTCTAATGGAATGCTCATAAGACAAATGTGGCTGACAGAGAAGGGGAAGGGAACTTCAGCAAGGAGGTAATCAAAATAAAATACTCAAACGGATGTACTTGCGTAGTTGCATGACATTTTGAAAATCTGTTCTTTATTGCTGGGAATGTGATTTCTAGATAATCTAGATGGATAAGATTATTCAAATCTAACTAATAATCAATCTGACTCTAGAGACTTGACAGTGGTCCCAAATGTACCAACACGAGTCTTTTCAGCAGACTTTGGCCTCACTCACACACTCTTTTCAGCGCGCTTAACTCTGTAGTTTCTACAAACTTGGTGCTAGAAAAGAAGATGAATTCTGTCTGTCTATATGTGGTACCAATCAATTATTTTTAGCTTTCACATTTTATTTCATGTTATGACCCGAGCAATTGCAGTTCTATATTAATTCTAACTAAATAAACAATCATGTTTTCTATTGACAAATTAATGGCAGCTCACCAACAAATTTCAATATATCAGATATTGGTTTCATATCTCCCTACTTTATTGTGATCCACATCAAATCCTCTTCGTTCTCCTCTCCAAAATCAAGATCCAAACATCAGGACAATCAAAGCACAATAACGAAAAGGGAAAATGAATAAGCCCATTCCCATTATTCACAAAAGAATTAAACACACAGAAAAAGGGGATACAACAAAATTCAATCGATTTTTCACTCCACCTAATGCATGGCAAAGTAAGTGTTAAGAGCTAAAACATCAAAACAAATAAGATCGAAGCATAACACAGCCAGATTTAGAAAAAAGAAAAATCTGACAGTTAATAAAGCATATAACCCAACAAATAGATCAAAGATTCATACGTCACAGGATAAATGATGAAACTCTGCGTGGTTGGGCGTCTGAAGCAGTTGATCAGCTGGCTGAGCTTAGAATATTACGGCAGCTCGAAGAATTTAGCTGATTTTTTTTTTCTTTAAAGTCTGTTGTGGAAATTGGGGAAATTTGTGGGTCGCAGGTGACTTCAGATAGTAAAGGTGAGGGCGATTGGAGCAGAATGCCTCTGCCATCTTTTTAACAAAAGTAGAAAAGTGACCATTTTTTTATACAATTTAATAAGGAATACAATTACAAATTTGCCACTTTTTTCATGTAAGAAAATATCGAATATTTTAACTTGGACTAATGCATATTTGTATTGGTGTGATTAAATTTATATTGGATCAACACATTATTAGTGTGTAATTATGTGATCCAACAATAGAAACTCTTGTCTTATTAAAATTGTCCTATCAACTTGTACAGTATTTATTCCTTGTCCAATTTAACTATTCAATTCATCAACTTGTACAGTATTTATTATTATTAAAACTATTGTCATTATTATTATTTCATTATTTATTCCCTCCTAATTTTCCTATAATATTCGGTTGTATTCCACTGAATTCTTCAAGTAGATTCAATTTTTTTTTCTTTAAATTCTTTTAATATAAAAAGAAAATAGCCTTTTGCATTTGCGATAATGTTGCCTTATCGAAATCTTTACACATGCGTAAGCCTGCCCAAGAACCTCACCGTCTCGCTAAGGACACGTGGCTTGAACCGGATGTACGCAGACACGTGTACGTCCCTGAAACCGCCATCTCCCTGCAAAGCTAGCTGATTCATCTCTTCTTATCTCCAACTTTCGATTCATATAAATACATGGATTATCCAATTTATTAGCTAAAATAGTCACCCGAAACACGCACACACCCAGTTTTGTTCCACACAATATGGTCCATAAATAAAAAAATAAAAATGGAAGCACAAATGCACCGCCAACATCACAACAAAGAGGACGATCTTCACGATATTGGTTTGCACTCTCTTCATTACATTTGAAATTAAAGTGTATTGCTTTTGTTTATATGACGAATTTTATACTTTATAGTATATCTTATTCGATTATGATTATGAAATTGTATAGGATCATGACTATCTAACCTTTATACAGACAAATTGAAGACCTATAGTTAAATGATTAGTCGTATCAGTTTTGGTAGCTAATCTTACCGTTAATTGATTAATTAGTCCTATAATTTTTCATTTGGTTCTTTCGTTAGTTGATATTAGTGTACCATTTTCGATTTGGTAGCTGGTGTATGCATTGCAGGCGAATACAAGACCTGCAGTTAATTGATTAGTGCTATCATTTTCGATCTCAAAGTTTAATTTTGATTTTGTTTTATTTTTAATTTTTGTATTGTTTTCGTAGTTGATGGAACTCCGGTTATAACTGGGACAGCTCTACCGGTTCAAACCGAGGTCAACTTGGAGAAGCCGCCCGGCCCGGATAAAATGTTGACCGGGCACGAAATGTTAATCGTGGAGGATGCTGACGTGGCAGAACCAACGGTCCAGATCAGTCATCCAACGGGCTTGGAGGAGGACCCACATTCCCCAAAGAGCCATCCTAAAAAAATCCATCCATCAAATTATCAGTCCAAAGTCGCTGATCCCACAGGTGAAGGTAATTAACTACTAATATGAATTCAGTCACAAATTTTTGTGTGTGTGTGACTAATTGTTAGTAAACGTGAAATTAATTTGACATTTAATCGAGTATTGTGGGCAGGAGGAGCAGAAGCGGACGTTGCCCCACTCGTCGAGCGCTTGGATAGATTTCATATTCCCGCACCGGAAAATGAATCTTACACTGGGAGCCACGGCCAGTTTGCCCCTCAGCCGACTCCCACCGCCGGCGAGTTCGTCCCCGAGTCAAACCCGGTCGACTCAACCCGAGGCTCGGAGCTGCCAAAAAGTTCCGAAACAGAGTCCATGCCCCGCGACACAATAGCCGGGAAAATATCCTCGACGGCTGCCGGAAAATCCGCCGGAGGTGCGTCGACGGCGGCGGAAGGGGGCGACAGAGGGGTTTCGGTGAAGGAGTATTTGGCGGAGAAACTGAGGCCTGGGGAGGAGGATAGGGCATTGTCGGAGGCGATTGTGGAGAGGTTGCAGGGGAAGAAGGCGGTGGTGGGCCGGGCNTTTCTTGTGTGTAGAGCGTTTGTGAATATGTTGATAGTAAAATGTTGGGTGGTTTGAATTCCTTTAAACCAAGTTTTCAACAATGTTGAGAGAATTTTGTTTGCACGCTTCTCAATTTCTAAAACTTTAGCGTGAGCAGGTAGGTTCTTACAAATGCTGCTGGTGAAGGATTTCATGCTTTTGTTTGTTACTTGAATATTATGATGACGGTCACTGAATACCAATCGCTGAATTACATTTTATACTTTGTTTGTTACATGTATATGACAATACAATAAGTTACCTTTTGATCCATGAAAGTGCTTGTTAGGATAAATGTGGGTATTTGTGATGGAGAAATCGAAATGGGGATGGCATACAGAATAATGTAAGAATGCAATTGAATAATAATGGTTCGGGTCGGTTCTTTTTGGTTTAATGTTTTACTTAGTATTTTTTTAGAATCTCTATTTTGCTCGCCATTTTTTCACTCATTTTTAGATATAATACAAGGGTATACATAGTAATTGTAGTATGGAAGCAATTCATCAAATCGTACTGTGCCCATTTAGTTGGTTAGAGTCGGTTTTGTTATAGAACCATCGGACACGTGTCAATACATAAAGTTATAGACGGCTCTATAAGGGAACCATCCGATGGTTCCATAGATTGATTGTGATTAGACAAACGCATTTAATACTCGCGTTACCCTACAAGTCTAAGACTTGCAGGCGGACAGATTAGCCTGCAGAGATGTACTTTTCCATTATTAGGTTGTAAGTGACCTTTACTTTATTGTCTTCTACTCGGTCTGTTCGTCCAATTCAGTTTAAAGTCCTTAACGAATTTGGCCTCGTTGTCTCTTTTACCATGGTCTTTCTCTATCAGATGACCGGTTTGGAAATCCAACTTGGTTCATTGGGAGCGAACCATCTTAATCTTTCTGGTGGGCTCGTTTCTTCAACTCGGGGGTCTAACATATATTTTATACAAAGCCATATATAATCCGCTCTAATAACAAATATATTAATTAGCCACTTAGAAATAACAAAATCGCATCATCTATTTTTCACTTGTTTTCATTAAATGTAATATACAAATTCAGGTGCATAGGAAGTGAAAACAGATAAATAGATTCATGTAATAACATAAAAATTAAAATTAAGATGTGATTAGCATAAAATATCTATTTGAAAAAAATGCCTTGTATACAAAAAAAAAGGTGAAACTATTTTTTAATAGAAGATGATAAAACTTTAGATTTTTAATATATATTAATTAAATAAAAATATAGTTACGAATGTTGATGTAATATTAAAATAATAAAATATTATTTTGAAAAATTCAGTAGCTAGTATGATATGAGTGGATGAATATTATTTTGAATGGGAAAATATAAAATAATAATAACTTTTGATTTTATTAAATAATGAAATTAATTGAAAATTTCAATAAATAAATAGTTACTTTATTATTATTTTTTTGGGAACGGGCTCGGATAATCCAAACCCAACAACAATAACCCGAATTAATTTTGTTCAGGGAGTCCAGCTGAGTTTCTCCCCAATTTTCCCTTTCCGACTATCAAAAACCCTTACATACTGCTTTAGACCCAGAGCATCGTCCACAAATTCGTTCGATTTTATCTTCCAACTTTAGCTGTTTTCTAAATTATATCTCTGAATAATCTTCGCCGGTCGCTTCCGGTGATACATCTCTTGCATTTTTCTGTTTAATGGAAAGTTCTCATTTTTTCAGATTGGATGCAAATAAACCCCTTGTGCTTGTTTATAGCTGCAATTTAGTGCACCTCTTAACATTCCTGGCTACAAATGATTCACAGGTATAATGGGGTGTGCCCAGTTTTCAGTATACATTTGCCATGTACGCCGTAGTCCTTTTAGGTCGAAGAGTTTTGAAGGGGCCTTCTTGTTTCCCTGTTGTTTCTCGTACTTTATGTTGTCAGAGCTCGAACGGTGATGATATGGATAGTGGGTTTGGGCGCATTGAGGATTTCCTCAACGAATCATGGAAAACGTCGAAAGATGGGGAGGAAGAAACGGAGTCAAATTTGCACGATTCACCCGGTCTCGAGGGGAACTTCTGCGCGAGAAAAGGGTTTATTGACGGTGTAAAAACCGACGCTGCACGAGTTCTTGAAATCCTTCACCAGGACGGGCCGGGCTTCGATGCCAAGCCCGTCCTGAGTGAATTGGGCTTGAGGGTTTCGAGTCTTCTCGTTCGAGAAGTTCTTTTCCGCATACTGAAAGAAATAAACTATGTCAACAAGAACAGATGCGCGAAGCTGGGTTACAAATTCTTTGTGTGGTCCGGCGAGCAGGAGAACTACAAACACACAGTCAGCATTTACCACGTGATGATGGACATCTTTGCAGAGTCTGAAGAATTCAAGGCAATGTGGAGATTAGTCGATGAAATGACCGAAAAAGGGTACCCTACAACAGCCAGGACCTTCAATATACTGATATGCACCTGTGGTGAAGCTGGTATAGCTAGAAAGATTGTCGAGAGGTTCATTAAATCCAAGACTTTTAACTACAGGCCGTTTAAGCATTCTTACAGCGCGATTTTGCATTCTCTGTTGACCATGAATCAGTACAGACTCGTGGAGTGGGTTTATCAGCAGATGCTAGCCGAAGGCCACACGCCCGATGTTTTCACCTACAACATCATCATGTGCGCGAAATTCAGGCTCGGAAAGCTCGAGCAGTTTCACATGCTGCTCGACGAAATGGGCCGAAGTGGATTCTCGCCGGATTTGCACACGTTCAATCTTCTTCTACACGTTCTTGGTAAAGGGGACAAGCCTTTAGCTGCGCTTAAGCTTCTGAATCACATGAAAGAAGCTGGAGTCCAGCCTGGCGTTCTCCACTTCACGACTCTAATCGACGGGCTGAGTCGGGCCGGTAATTTGGAGGCCTGCGAGTATTTTTTAAACGAGATGATGACGAAGCACGGGTGCCTTCCAGATGTCGTTTGCTACACTGTTATGATAACGGGTTACGTCGTTTCAGGAAATTTCGATAGTGCACAGAAGATGTTTGATGAAATGATTAAAAGGGGTCACTTACCTAACGTTTTCACGTATAATTCGATGATACGTGGCTTTTGTATGGAGAGGAGGTTCGAGGAGGCTTGGTTGATGCTGAAGGGCATGGAGTTGAGAGGTTGTAACCCTAATTTTCTCGTGTATACTACTTTGGTTGGGTACCTGCGAAATGCGGGAAAGCTGCGCGAGGCTCATGAGGTTATAAAGCATATGGTGGAGAAGGGGCAGTATGGTCATTTGCTGTCGAAAATCAAAAGATACAGGAGATGTTGAAGGTGGGTACCAAAAAAAAAAAGCCTCTTGGTTTGGGAAAATTATGCTGTAATGTGTTGAGTTTGCCAAGCTTTTGATTCTTTCCATCATATACTCCATAAGCCAATGTAAGTCTCGGCAGGTCACCCCAATCTTGACGATCCATAAAGTTGTGGTTTTTATTGTAATGATGATATAGTAGCTTTTTTCTCCCCCCATTTTTTTTTTTTTTGCAGTGGATAGAATAATATACTCTTTTCTTGTGGATTTCTGAGTAGAAATATTATGTGCTTCGGTTCTTGGTGAAACAAGCTCAGCTAAGTATAGAACTGATTAACAGAACATAATTGCTGATAGAAAATATTTATCTCTGCTAAAACTGCTATATTATCAGAACATATCATGGAAAATGCTGAAAGATAAGTGTTTGATTTCAGAAATTCGATCGTGCGCCCATTTTATTGCTAATTGCTGCCCTTGAAACAGCTCATGTTAGCTGATCATGTGTAATTTTATCCATGAGTGTTCTCTTGTTGTGAAGTAACATTAGGAGACTTCATAGATGTTTTGGTTATCTCTTGTGATGTGAAGCAATGGACTTTGATTTTTGCATCATTTTGCCCTTGCGATTTATCACACGGACGATGAAGTTTAACTCGAGACTGTCATAATTGTTTTATTTTGTGTGCTCTGATGTGTAATTATGCAGGTAAGTAGCTTTAGTTATGTGGGTAGAACTTTAAATCCCAGGTTTATTCATCTGTCTTTCTGAAGAATTTTGATTTTCATCTGTTATTTAGGACCTCAATTCTGTAGGACCAGCCATTGTTAATCCTCCAATAGCTTGACAGATGCTTGAAAAGCCAAAAGAGGATAACACCCAATTGGAATAGCCACAGGCAATTGTTTGTATAATGTTTGTTCATTTTCTGGGAATCTTTTTGACAAATTTATCAGTTGGAATTGAGGATTTTTGTTAGACTTGATGAATCCCTTAACGACTTGGACGTAAAAATGGCACTACTTAAAAATTTGCAAATATTTTTTCTAATAGATATGCATAAATGACACTACTTTAGAAATAACGTACAATTATATGGGATGGAAGTAAAATGATGAGGGAATACGTGACCAAATTGATTTTGTATTGCCAATAGGAAATAATTTAGGGCGTGATTGTTTATAAGTTGTACAGTAAAAATCCCACTCAAAACTCAAATTTAACTCAACTTTAACTCAAATCCACTATCTTCAATATTATCAATATAATTAAATAATATCAAACAATTATTATTACACATCACATTAACTTTAATTCACTATTCACCCACTCACATAATTTTAACTAATCATCACTTTCAATCATTTTCTCCTACTTTTACATCAAATCAACTTTAATTATTTTAATTTAAATATTATTTTAATATATCCACAAACAACTAACCATATTACTTTTTGTCAAATTTAACTATAGTTAAAAAAAAACTAGTTTTTTACTAGTTGAATTCATATCCAATCACCCCCTTAATAATATAGATATTCTTAAAAACACTTGAGGAGATGGGGCCGAAAGAGTGTTATTTTTCTTTGTTTTTTCAACAATATTTGCATGCATAAATTTCAATATTTATTATCATATTCAAAATGTTGCTGCTAGAAAGAATACCACAAAACAAAAATTATCTTTGCTGCAAACAAAATAAATAGAATCAATCAGCAAATTATTGAATAGAGACTTGTCTTACTTGTCTAACATAACAAGGCCAAGGACAATCAAATTTATATTTTCTGATAGTACAATGAAGAACTATCATATCATATGAATTACAACATACAGTTTCTATATCATTTGCTCATATTGGGAAATATCCCATAATTTATTCAAGGATAGATAAAACATTAAAAATCCCAAAAAACAAAAATAAAAATAAAAATATAAAATAGTTAATGTTTCTTTTCCTCTACCTTCTCCTCTTTCTTTTCCTCTTTCTTCTCTTCTTTCTTCTCCTCTTTCTTTTCCTCCTTTTTCTCTTCCTTTTTTTCTTCTTTTTTCTCCTCTTTAGCTGGACCAACTGATAAAATATCAACTTTACCAACTTTCTTCAATTTCTTCACAACAGCAACAGCATCCATCTCACCAATAACTGTTAGCTTTTGGGTATTCAGATCAGCAGCAATTGAATCCACTCCTGTTTTAAAATCAAAGTCCAAATCAAAACTTCTTTTATAAATAAATAAAAATTCTCATTTTTGTTATGGTATTGAATGAATTATTAAAAAGAATCAAATTAATTAAGTACCAAAAATATCTGCAGCTGCTTCTATGGCTTTCTGCTTTGTTTTCTCATCAGTCATGGTAAGTACCTTCAGCACAACCTTCTGCTATGACCAAAATTAACTCTTTACGATTAAAAAAAAAAAGAAATAAATTATGGGTTAAATGAATTATGAGATAATTGGATTTAGAGACAATACCTGGGCCATTGGAGTTGAGGGCAAGAATGAATCAACCTTTGGTTTCTCCTTTTTGATTATCTTTGGATTGGTTTTGAAAAAAATGAAACTCTTGGGTATGAATATGCAAAACCCAAAAAAGTAGATCCCTTTTCCAGGGATAAAAAGAGAACAGAGGGGGCAAATGGGAAAAAAAATGGGACAAATATGATTGTAAACTATTAAATGCTACTAGCTGCATTTTTTGACATTTTTAATTTCGTTGCAATTTATATTTTAAGTGTCGTTTCGTGGAAAAAAGGTGATGCCTACTTCTTCATTGAAATAGTGAGGAAAAATCTAGGAAGCATTTAGGTAGTTATTTTATTGAATTCATTTGAAAATGATGATATGTTTTACTCACAGGCTTTGTCTTTTGTCCTCTCGTATCTTGGTGACAAGGAGAAAATGTAGACAAATTTGAAAACTTTCCTCATGGTCAAGCCCCCTTGTGAACATAACTATAACTATTGAACCCAAATTATACTTCACTAACTTAAAAAAATTACTATATTTATATGTTTGGAACATTTACAAGTCTGTTAAAAAGATTTTGGTACCACATAGAAACAATAATCCAATTCTATTATAAAAAATAAAAATTGCTACTACATATAGAAAATAGACTAATGCACAAAAATATGTTCGCCAATTAGAAGTAGAGGTAGCCTAGTTGAGGGTTAATAAAGAAAAGAGACACAATCTATCCTTAACACCGTAAGACTTGAAATATATTTAAAGATTCGATCTTCTTGCATTGTACTTACTTTAAATCTTTTTATGTGATTTTGTTCTTGTCATTCAAAAATGAAGCCAATTTATATACTATCATGTAAGCACAATTAGACCCTTGTAAATACTCTTATATGTATATTATTCTAATTTTTTTAGCTGGGATGTCAATCTAAAAGGAAGCCACATAC